GCCACGGCTCCCTGAGGGGCGGGGGGGGAAAGGGGAGTGGGATGGGGCCCTGGGGGATGTGGGGAGGGGATTGACCCGGCGAACGCAAGGAGCTGGGGATGGGATCGATCCGGTATCCATGGGGATAAGGGGATGGGATGGACCTGGCAGCTAGGGGAGTGTGGGGATGGGATCAATCCAGCACGCAGGGATGCGGGGATGGGATCAATCCAGCGCACACAGGGGGCAGCATCCTGCAGGGATGCGGGGATGGGATGGATTCAGCACATGGGGATGTGGGGATGGGATGGATTCGGCACACACAGGGATGTGAGGATGGAATTCTGCAGGGATATGGGATGGGATTGTGCAGGGAGGTAGGGATTGGGTGGGCATTGTCCTGGGACACACAGGGATGCGGGGATGGGATGGATTTGGCACACATGGGGATGCGGGGATGGGATCAATCCAGCACACACAGGGATATGGGGACAGGATCCTGCAGGGCTGTGGGCTGGGATGCCGATTCCAGAACCTACAGGGACCCAGGAAATGGATCCCACCAGGGCCAACCCAACACCCACAGGGACAAAGGGACAGGCGATCAAACCAGCAGCTGCAGGGATGTGGGGATGGGATCCAGGAGGGATCAAGAGCCGCAGGGACGTGGGAACAGGATCAGCTGGGCACCCACAAAGACATGTGGATAGACTCCTATGGGGATCAACCCTTCATCCACCGGGAGAGAGACAGGATTCCATGGATATGTGAGGCTGGGATCCTGCAGGGATCACCCCGGCATCTGCAGGGACGTGGGGCTGTGAACCCATGGGATTTGGGAACGGTGCCTGTAAGGATGTGGGGCCGTGATGCAGTGGGATTTTGGTGACATGGTCCTGTAAGGATCACCTCAACATCTGTGGGAAAACGTGGCTGTGATCCCACGGGATTCGGGGACATCGTTCTACAGGGATCAGCCCAGGATCTGTGAGGATTTGGATCTGTGATCCTGTGGATTTTGGGGACACAATCCAGCAGGGACCACCCCAGCACCACCCTCCTCCTGCGGTCCCCCATTGCCCCCCCATTGCCCCCCCATTGCCCACCTACCCGCGCCCCTCGATCTTGCAGACGTGTTGGATGAAGGGGCTCCAGTCGAAGGCTCCGGGCTCGCCCCGCGCCCACCGGCCCAGCTCCTCCCGGTTCACCGCCAGGTAATCGGTGGCCACGATCTCCTCGAAGTGGTCGCAGGCGCTCAGCAGTTGGTAGATGGTGGGGCCCGAGCCCACATCGATCAACGTCCTCCCCCGGATCTCACCTGGCAGGGGGACAGGACAGAGGTGTGGGGGGTCCCCGCATCCATCCGGGGAAGAGGGAAAGCCAGGGAAGGTCAGAGGAGCTGCCCCTGCGTGCCGCGGGTGCTCCGTGCCTCAGTTTCCCCGCCCCACTGCGAAGCTTGGAGGGGGCTCCCCGCCGCCTTCCCCTCACCGCTGGCGAAGGTCTCGGCCAGGCATCGCAGCTTCCAGGGCACCACGAACTCCTCGGAGGAGAAGTCGGCGCGGGGCGGGAGGTAATTGTTGCGCAGGTACGCGCGGGGGTCGAAGTGCTCGTAGCCCTCGCGGAGCGCGGCCGGGCTGTTCATGGCGAGGGGCTGCGGCTCCGGCCCCGCCGCCGCCGCCTTTTATCCCTGCTCGGTCCGGGGGGGGCCGCGGGGAGCCGCGACGGCCCCATCCATCCACCCCGCATCCCTCCATCCATCATCCATCCCGCCTAACCCGGTTAGCGCCAGCGCCCCGGGGCCGCGGCCGGATCCATCCCGGAGCTGATAACGGCTCCCCGCCCTTCCCGGGCTGCGGGCATCCAGGAATCCTGTCCCTGTGCCCGGGGGAAATGTCCCCCCTCCCCGAGAGGGGGCTGTGACCCCTCTGTGCTCCCTCGTGTCCCATGGGATGAGGATGGATGGAGAGGGATTGGGACAGGAATGGGAAAGGATTGGAAAGGGATGGGGATGGAAATGTGGAGGGATTGGGGTGGAATGGGATGGGGATGAGAATGGGAAGGGATTAGAATGAGATTTGGATTGGGATTGGGATGGGAAGGGATTGGGATGGGGCCCATCTGGGCTCTCCATCACCGATGAGCTGAATGTGCTGGACCTCAGCCCAGCTCTGGCAGGAGCCGGCACCGCCTCTGCCAGCTCCCAGTGCTCCCAGAGCTCCCAGTGCTCCCAGTGCTCCCAGTGATCCCAGTGCTCCCAGTGCTCCCAGTGCTCCCAGTGATCCCAGTGCTCCCAGTGCTCCCAGTGCTCCCAGAGCTCCCAGTGCTCCCAGCGCTCCCAGTGCTCCCAGCGCTCCCAGTGATCCCAGTGCTCCCAGTGATCCCAGTGCTCCCAGAGCTCCCAGTGCTCCCAGAGCTCCCAGTGATCCCAGTGCTCCCAGTGCTCCCAGTGCTCCCAGAGCTCCCAGTGCTCCCAGCGCTCCCAGTGATCCCAGCGCTCCCAGTGATCCCAGAGCTCCCAGTGATCCCAGTGCTCCCAGTGATCCCAGCGCTCCCAGTGATCCCAGCGCTCCCAGTGCTCCCAGCGCTCCCAGTGATCCCAGAGCTCCCAGTGCTCCCAGTGATCCCAGTGCCCCCAGCACCCCGGGATAAGGAGCCGGGTGTGTCTCGCTGTGCAGGAGCTGTAGGGGGGTGACAGTGGAGGGTCAGCAGCTCCTGGGAGGAAGGAGCGGGATGGGGCCGGGCTCTGGGAGGGGACAGGGCCTGGCGGGGGCCCAGGGACAGCGGGATCCAGAGAGGGAACAGCTAATCTGGGCACTGCGGATCCTGGCACCGGGTGGGCGATGCGGGGGGGTGAGGGGGGGGTGTTATACAAGCACAACCCTCCCAACCCCCAGACACCCCCAGTCCCATAAGACACCGGGTCCCTCCAGCTGTTGTGCCTCAGTTTCCCCCTGTGCCTCCATTCCGTCATCCCAAAACGGTCCCTCTCCCCCTAAATCTTTTCCCCCACCCTTGTACCCCCCCAAAAAAAGATGCTGCCGTGCCAAAGTAGGCGTTTTATTGCCGTACAAAGTCCAGGGTTGGTACAACCCCACCGCAGCCCCCCACCCCCCCTCCAGACCCCCCAGGGCGCCCCCCAACCCCGGGCAGGATTCAGCGTTCCTCATCCTCGCATTCCCTTCTTTTCGCCAGGGAAACTGAGTCACGCCGGAGCTGCCGGGAGCCCCCCGAAGGGCGGGAGACCCCCGACCCGCGGGGTCCTCATCCCCACCGGCCTCCACGACGCCCGCAGCGGGGTGGGTCCCAGGTGAATGGAAGCCCACCCCCACCTGCCCCCGCCTTCCTGCGCTGCCTCTTCGGGGCGGCTGAGCCGACCCAGGCGCGTGGGTCCCCCCAGCCCCCCAACATCACCCTCCTGCCCCCCACCCACCCTCCCCGACCTCCCCCGGCCCCTCTGCCGCGCTCAGCCCCGCTGGGCCTCGTGGGAGAGGGAGCGGGAGAGGGTGCGGGGGATTCCCCCCTTGGCTCCGCGGAGGTCTGAGGGGGCGAAGAGGGGCACGGGGAGGGTGCGGGCGTAGGGCAGGAGGTGCTGGGTCAGGGGCTGCCCCAGGACCCCCACCCGCAGCAGCCCCCAGGGCGAGCGCTGCTCCAGCAGCCGCACGGCCCCGCGCTGCTCCAGCGTCTCCCGGCGCTGCGTGTCCACCTCCCGCCGGCACCACCTGCGCACCGGGCACTCGTGGGGGTGCGGGAGAGACCCCCGCGTCCTGCTCTGACCCTTTGGGGTCACCCCACCCCGTCAGGACCACTGGAGACCCCCCCGATATCCCATGGACCCTCTCAGCCCCATGGGGACCACCCCATGGGAACCCCTGGAGACCCCCGTGTTCTCCTGGCCCCTTGTGGAACCCCGGCTTCCCCCAGCCCCATAAAGAACCCCGTTTCCTCACAGGGACCCCTGTGGTTCCCAATCCCTCTTGGACATCCCCCCCCCACCTCCCTGGATCTTCTCTGACACCACAGGGACCCTCGGAAACCCCCAAGGCCCCAAGACCCCTTGGAAACTTCATAATTTGGGACACTTGGAGCCCCCTCACAACCTAAAGACCCCATGGGAACACCCAAGTTTGGGACCCTTAGGCTGCCCAAAACCCCACTGGCACCCTTGGAGTCTCCTACAGCCCCAAACTCCCATGGAAAACCCCAATTTTGGAACCCTTGGAGCCACCCCACAAACCCATGAAAACCCCATATTTTTGGACCCTTGGAGCCCCCCAAAATGCTACGGGGACCCCACGATTTGAGACGCTTTGAGCTCCCTACAACCCCATGGAAACCCCACATTCCAGAACCCTTGGAGCCCCCCATGAGCCCAATCCCCACAACAAAACCCCCAATCCTCCAGCACCCCCGGACCCCCCCAGACCCCCCGGACCCCTCCGGCCGTGCCCCTCACCCGTCCTCGGGCCGGGAGCTGAGCTCCAGGTCCAGCCACTCGGCACTGAAGGTCTCTCTCCGCCCCACGTCCTCCTCTTGGACACAGCAGCCCAGGCGAGCCGAGAGCAGCCCCCTGGAGCCCCCCACCACGCCAGGTCCCACCATGGTGCCGCTTTCCCCCCTCCCCTGAGCCCGCCCCGCTTTTATGGCCCCGCTGGGGCTATTTTGGGACGCGCCGCTGGCACCGGGCGCTGCCAAGGGGGGAGAGCGGGGGCGGTGGCACCTCGGACACGTGTGTGGCACACACGGGTGTGTCCCCCCCTCCTCTCACGGCCGTGGGGATGAGGGGCAGGTTCCTGCCAACAACGTGCTGGCACCGGCAGGACCCCCCTGGCACCTGCCCAGGGCACGCCTGGCCTTTCCCTGTCCCCCAACAGCGCTGGGGTGCCACGTGTCACCTCTGTGCCACCCCAGTGCCACCCACAGCAGCCGCTGACCTCAGAGGGACGTTGGGGTCCATCCCAGAGTGTCCCCCCGCACCCAGGACAGGGGTGTGGGGCTGTAGGGACCCCCCAATGGGCTGTTTGTAGGGCCAACAGCCGGGTGGCCGTGACGCAGGGCTCACGTGGACGTGGCTGGTGACAGAGAGGACAAGGGGCTCCAGCCCCCCCAGCTGCCCCCAGGCGTGGGGGTCCCACCCCAGGGGATGAACCCAGGGCACTGGGGACAGCTGGTGCGGACAGAAATGCCCCAGGTGATGGAGCTGCCGGTGCCACCACGGGGTGAGGGACAGTGCCACCCACACCCAGTGGCACAAGGAGCCTGGAGACCCCACCCTTTGGCGCTGGGGGGGGTCTTCAGGGTGACCCCAGCCCCACACCTGCCCCCACCCCTTCCATTCATTGGTGACAAGGGGCACGCGGCTGACACGGAGCTGCAAACAGTGCAAGGCTTTAATTCAGCCCCCACAGATTGGGGGGGTGGTCCGGACCCCCCCCCAGGCCCTCGGGGGGGGTGCAGAGAGCCCGGGGGGGGGGGGGGGGGGGGAGGGGAGGGGGGGCTGTGGGTGCCCCCCTCCCGCAGCGCAGCCCCCGCGTGCGGGCGCCCCCGCGCTGCTGCCGCTGCCGCTGCCGCTGCTGCTGCCGTTTTTAGAGCAGCACACGGCGCTCACAGGTAGAGAAGCCGCAGTCGCCCCCGCGCCCCCCGCCCCCAACATCCCCCCCACAACACCCCCAAAAAAGGATCCGAGTCTCTGCTTAAGGCAAATCCCGCGCTGGCTCCGCCAAGAGCTGCAGGTTTGGGAAGGAGGGGGCTCGGCCAGCGCCGAGGGGAGGTTTTTGGGGTCCCCAGGGTGGGGGGGCACAGCCCCGGGGTCACCGTGGCTGTGGGGGCGGCCACAAACTTCAGGTGCTGGTGGAGGGGCAGAGCCCGGCCCGGGGCTCAGCTGAGCCCTCACTGACACGGCCACCACCTCTGTCCCCTCTTCCTCACGGAATTGGGGCGCAGCGACAGGAATCTGGGGGTGCCAGCTGAGCCCCCCCCAACCCATCCGTGGGGAGGGGGGGGCCGGCCCAGCCCCCCGGGGAGGGCAGGGCAGGGATTTGGCACGGAACAGTCGGGTCCTGGCTCCCCATCGGGGCAACAGCGGTGGGAGGAGGGGCTGAGCCCCCCTGGCCTCAGCCCATGGCTGGTAGTGGGGGGACCCCTCCCTGGGGGGGTGCAGGGTCCTGTCCCCATCCCCACAGAGCACAGAGGGCACTGGAATGTCCTCAGGGCTTGGAGCAGAGCTCGGCCACGCGCTGGCGCAGGTGGAAGGAGAACTCGAACATGGTGGCAGCCAGGCTCTGGTGGATCAGGTAGCGGGGCAGGCGACCCTGCGGACACAGGACAGGGACACGGGGACAGGAGGGACGGTTTGGAGCTGGGAGCTGCCCCCATCCCACCCTGGGAGGCTCCAGGGATGGGGATACAGGGCCATCAACCAGGGCTGCCCCCATCCCATTCTGGAGGGTTCCAGGGACACATAAACGAGGCTGGTGGTTGGCCTCATCCCATTCCAGGGTGTTCCAAGGACATGAGGATTTGGGGCTGGGGGCTGCACCCAACCTGCCCTGGAGAAATCAGGGCTGGGCTGGGGGCCTGTGCCCCATCCCAGGGATGCAGAAGCCATGAATGGGGGTTGGGGCTGGGGTCTGCCCCTATCCCATCCCACCCCAGAGGGATCCAGGGATGCAGGAGCACCGCTGCGCGGAGCTGCGGCTCTCAGGGAGCTTCGATCCGGGGGAGGAACCGCAACGTGGTTGGATTTCTCTAAAAAAGCCCTGCACGACTCACCCCCCACCCGCCTCGGCCTCGGCTCCGTGGTGGGAGATCCATGAAAAAATAATAATCCTTGTCTCTGGGGGGGAGGGAGCTGAGGCAGGGCTGGGAACGGCTCCAGAGGCACGGAGGGATGAGTGGCCAGCTATCCCGAGGGTCAGGCAGGCACAGGACACTCTCCTCCCCCGGGGCTGGGCTGGTCCAGCACACAGCTTTTCCTGGAGTGGGTTTTCCCTCGGGCACAGGGGCAGGAAAAGTTGGAGGCCGCCGCTCCAGGGGCCGTTTCAGCCCGGACCCAAACACACACACGTGCGGAATCCTCCCTCCCCCAAGGAGCAGGAAGGGATGAGCCATGGGCTATAAATACTCGTCCAGGGCCAAAGGGAAGAGCGAGGAGCTGCCGAGGGGGTCTGGGCGCTGGCAGAGCCCCTGGGGAAGGCGGTGGGAGCAGTTGGGGGTTATTAATAGCTCGGCATTCCTTCCACGGCAGAGGCGGCGCCGGGCCCGGGAAGCACAAGAAACCTCTTTTCTTTCCGAGCCCACCACGGGGGGTTTGTTACCCAAAACCTGCCCGCGATGGCTGCCAGATCCGCAAAAGGGAAAACACATCCCTGGCGCAACGGGGCGGGAAGGGCACGCTCTGCTCCATCCCGCTCCCGGCGCTTCCCCAAACCTTTCCCGAAGCGTTTGGCAAGACAGGCAGGAGCCGCTGGGCTCTGGGGGAGGGGAGGGGGCCGTGGGAGGGGAGGGGAGGGGAGAGGAGGGGGCCGCAGCGCTGCAGCACAGCCGAGGGATGAATGGAGCCTTTGTGCTGCTGCGGCAGCGCCGTTACCACGTCAACCTTCAGTGGAGGAAGGAACGGGGCCAGCTCCGCTCCCGCTCCCGCATCCGCCCCATCCCGGTCCCTCCGTGCGCTGCCTTTTGTCCGGGACATCGGCAAGAACACGCAGCTCCACAAATGACTCCGGAGCCGCGGCAGCTCGCTCCCCCGGGGGGGGATGTGGGGTGGATGTGGTCGGGAGCAGGGAATTGCCCCTCGGGGGTGTTGCCGGGAGTGGGCAGGCACAAAACTTGCCGTGCCTCAAACTGGTTTTGGTCAGCAGTGAGGATAAAAACTCCCTCTTCCCCCAGTCCTGCACTCACAGGTGAAACCCTTAAGTGAGATCTGAAATAAGGAAGAGCTCCCAGGTTAAGGAAGAGCTTCCCAAACTCCCACTGGGAAAGGAGGAGGATTTTGGAGTAGTTTAACCCCCACTTGCCAAACCTGAGTCCCTTCGGGGCAGTGCTTGGTAAGGGGACACTTCTGTGGCTGCGGGATCTGGGAGCAGGGCCCGGGGCTGCTGGGGAGAGGGGAGAGCTGTGCTGGGGACAGGAGCTGCCTTTACCTTCAGATCCGTGTTGAGAATCCAGATGAAGGTGCAGACCTTGGCATTGCTGGGACATTTCAGGACGATGAATCCTCCAGGTCCATTCTCACCCCTGCGGAGGAAAGCCAAGAGGGTCAGGCAGAGCCAGGCTGGAATTCTGGCCGGGATTCTCCGTGGCTCTGGGATGCACCGCATGGAGCTGAGCCTGGCAGCGAAGGCCAGAGCCCAGTGGGGCAGGAGCAGATGCTGGGAGCCCGGGAAGGTGTGTGCCTTGGCTCCAGGCACACGAGCCAGCACGGCAGGGCAGCTTTCCCACAGGTGCCTTGGCAGCGCCGGTGCCAGGGCCGCCGCTGGAGCAGCAGCTCTGCCTCTGGATCGTGCCAGCTGTTCCCCACGGGAAGCTTTCCCAGGCAGAACCATGGGTGCAAACAAAAGGTCCCAGGAAGCTCTGTGTTCTCAGGACAGGCTCAGCACTTGTCACTCCAGCCCCCAGATCCTTCCCAGCACCATCTGATCCGTCTCTGAGACGGGAGCTGTGCACACGCAGCCCAAATACAGATTTCCCTTCCCTCTTCAGAACACGCTATTTTTGCTGTATGCCTTCGTTAAAGGATTTTTCCAGGCCCTGAAGTCCCCAGTTCCTAAATAGACTGAGGCAGCTCCAACGGCTCTGAGATAAAATGTCAATTACTTTAACCAGATTATTGAGAAAACCAAAGTCGGAGCGCGCGGCGGCACAGCTGGGCCCCGGCAGGAACAAGGAGTCCTTGTCTGGTGAGCCCGACCCCGCCGGGATCCATCACCAGCCTGTCCCTTTGGAAGGGGAGAGGCCAAAACCCTGCTGAGATTTTGGGAGCTGCTCCATCCTCGTTTCATCCCTCAGTGCCTCAAATTCGGTGAGTGAGCGGTTTACGAGGAGCAAAAGGCATGTGAGAGGCTCGGAGCCACAGCCAGCTGTTTACTGCCCCTCAGAAATTCCTGTTTGGGAATGAACTGTTACATAAACAGGATGTGGGGCTGGGATGGGGCTGCTGCTGTTACTGGTCAGCACCTCCACTCCCCCGAGCTGGGAAACGCCCCAGCACCGCTGACAGCGCAGAGAGTTTCTTGAACAAAGGGAGACGAACAAGGGAAGCGAGGTTCAGCTCCACAAATAGCTCAGCTTCCTGCAAATCCTGCCAGGAAGGCAGCAGGGCTTGCAGTTAAGTGGCTCTTTGCCTCGAAGCTCTGGAGAAGAGCGTGATCCCAGCTAAAAAGACAGCACCTGCCTCTCACCTGACGTACTTGGAGAGCGGAGGCTTCAGGCTGTGCGTGGTCGACATCCCTGAGGAAACGTACCTGTCTCTCCTCCTCTCGATCCGACGCACGTTCACAAAATCCCTGTGCAAAGAAAGAGCTTAAAAACACACCTGGGGTGTGGAGGGGGCAGATCCTGCTCTCTGGACTGCTGGGAGAGGCTGTGGCAGGGCTGTGTCAACACAGGG